CTTTTTTGTCGAACTATGTTATAATCAGCAAAAATTCTTTCTATTTAACCGCTTTTAGCTATTCCCAATATGTCGCTCATGTCGGCAGCTCTGTTATCCATGCTGAAATCCCTTTCAAATTTAGTCTAAAGTTGAGCTAAATATTCTTTTATGCATCTCCCCGGCTACCAACTTGTCACGTGACTTAGTAGTTGAAAAACCGGAACAGCTCTTACGCGTACAATAAGATCACATGGATAGCACCATTTCAATGATCTTTTGAAGTTTGAAAGAATGTTTTGAGCTATTCCGATATTGCTACCACTACCTTACATACGTTTCGGTGGTCTCGCCCGCCTCATCAGAGAGAGATGTCTTACGAGTCACTTCTAGTAATAGCAAGGATGGTCGCTGCGCAACCAGTCAATTAAATATTGTGTGATGGTGAGGTCTATTTTCAACAGATGGCTTACGCGCTCTTACGAATCATATAACATTACTTTTCGTTAGACTGTTTTTGAAGAAGGTAATGCTACAATCTTCATGACAGTCGCAAAAGCCATCGCCTGGAAATCAGTGAAAAGCTCAAGATCACGTCGTTTTTCACGTTGTCTTGTCTGATCCATCTGCAACCATTCATGCTATTAGTGGGCTGACTCGTAGGGCGTGTGGCTGTGACGAGGCAGACAAGACCGTAGAAGCGTGCGTAAGCCACGCTACCAAACTCGGAAAAGCTTAAGGCATACTCCCAGGTTATATTACAATTTTTAGCCCGGTTTGAAAAACAGACGATTGAAGTTGATCTTTTAGAGTGTTCCGAAACAAGTACACTATTGACAGTTTTATATGGAGACATTCTCCGTCCTGAAAGAACGAGTGTGACCTATTTCTCTCAGCGAAATGTGCTCAGTTTTGCATTTATGACGATTCTAGTATTGTAGCGCCCAGTACTCATCCGAAGATGACAGTGCAGCCGCGCGCTGTTGATTGTTTTCATGCACTTGGGAAAAATCAGAAGTTAATTTATTTATGGACAGATGCTGCTCGAATTTAAGTAATAGACATCAGACTGAATAGTAATAAAAGCAAACAGAGCAGCGTATGATCTAAGAGGTAACTATTGAAACGATCAGAAAGTGTGCGCGTTTCTTCTATATCGCTTCAGCGGGAGGCCTCTGTGAGTCATTGTAAAGGCCAAATATGCATTCAATCACTTCGAAAGAATTTTAAAGATTTGTAGACAAATGCATGGCGCATCCCTTAGAGATTATAAATGCCGAGAGCTTTATCCTTTTTATCCTTTAACGGACCAACCGGGACAATCTAGGCCACCTTATCAAAGCACCGCTTCAGTTGCAATGAGGTTGAAGGCACAACGCTGATAAGTGAAACGATATAAAGAGATAAATCCTAAGACAGTGTGAGAAAAACCCTGCATGAGACAAACAAAACATCTTTGTTGGCAGTTGATGTATTCTTTCTACGACAAGCTGCGAATTGTCACTTCCTACGTACCTGAATCCAAAAACTCACATTCAAGGTGATTTTTTGACATATCCACCTTTCTACACGTACTCCGTCGATTTTGTTCGTCTTCAACCAGCTCCATTACCAGAGAGCTATTACCTGGAGAGAGCTGACTTTATATTTTCTATAAACATTACCTATGTCACCTGTGGTCCCTTTGATAGTCGAGTGACTCAAGCACGCACTAACAATACTTCCAATTTTCCCTAAAGCATACAAGAGTATCCCAATGGGTCCTTTTCGCTCCAGGAATGCGTCAAGAACTGCATCTTCCTTCTAGGCTTATTATGAAGAAATTGGACCATCGGATCGGTAGTTTTTTCTGTGGAGCACTTGATATCCCGAGGAGTCCAATAGGTAATGGCTTATATCTTCTAGTTTTCGATGAAATCTTAACAGCCTATCAATGTCGTCCACCTTATCTTTTGAAGCCTAGGTTCAAAATGGCATCGCTGAGCTTCGATCGTAGACGTAGGTCAGAACTTCGAATGCTTTCTTTCATTGTGAGATACGGACTACTCTGAGTATGGGCTTTCCGACTGCGCCTTAGTAACGTCAAGTGATCTTTAATCCTGCTTACGTGAGGATCTTATAGAAATAGTCGATAGCAGGTAAGGAGTACCTGAATTTCCCATGTTGACCTCTAGGCTTGTGTGTGCAACGCTTTTGTGGGGTAAGTCGTCTTTAGCCTCCTGTGAAGAGCAGCTGAAGAAGCGACTCCGCGCTGGTGGCTCACGCAGCGGCCCGCGCGGTGGATCTGAAGATGGAGAGCGTTATCTCAACAATGCTGCACTTTGTTATGAAACTCCAATCATCGTAATTGGAGGGATTTGTGGTCAGTGAATGGTAGTAGATGACAGTGGAGACTTCAGTGGAGCTATTTGTAGTCGAAACAAGAAACGAGCACATTGTCATGATCTTTACATATTTAGAACACGCCGCTGATAACTGGTAACTCAATAGTACGTTTCGTTTTTTGTTTTAAAATTTGCATCTCAAAGCGAAAGTTTGACAAGAAGCAGTTTTATCAGTTCGGCAGAGTAATTGCGTGTTAATGTTAAAGATCACTTTCTACCGAGCCATCTCATATTCATTTAAGAACAAAAATCTTACCTAGTAGACGGCGAGAAGAAAAATTTCTTCTATGATGGACTTAAGAAGCGCTAACAAAATTCTGTTGTATGAGACTTAGACAGATAGAAAAATATTGTAAAAATATAAGATCCAAAATTAGATCACTTGCCCCATAACTTCAGAAGGTACATCGTCTTCACCTAATCGGCGCACCATCGAAAATCTACAATGCCGTTATTTTGCTAATGAACTGCAACGAATAACTCTCAACGGATTTTTGAGTAGTTGAAAAGCTATAAACCCTCAACAGTGGTGATTGAAATCTAAAAAAGAAAGTTCAAAGGCAGGAAGACATCACGGACTGCGATGATGCATGCAAGTCAGCCTGTTAGCATTAAAGAGACCAAACTGGAGAACAATCAATGAAAAAAGAGCCTTTTTAACAGTATTTATTCAAACAGCTGACATTTCGGCATTTGCGCTTTCTTTAGAGCCTGGAAAGATTACGTTGTCCACGATCCGGTCTGCAGAGCACCTCAATCACTTTTGTAGAAGAAGTCACTAGACCCATTTAGTCGTATTAAGCACAACATCAACTTTTAAACGAGCTCACCGGTTTTTTATAATTGTTTCACTATGTTGTTAAAGTGAAGGCCACCGGCTGAGACCATTGGACTCGTAATGCACCCCTCGTTTGGAGAACTGTCTTATTCACTCCAAATTAAAACGCGGCAATTAGTGCGCATCGCATATATGATCGTCTATGTACAATGAAAAAGTGTCTAACACTGCCTACCGTCTGCCCTAACAGTAAAGATCGTGACTGCACGCTTACATTTATAGTTAATCAGATCTCTTGTAAAATGTGTGGCGAGAAGTACGTCGGAGAAACGGATAGGCCTCACGTGTCCTTAAAAAAACACCTAGCTGACAAGTGAATTGCTTAATCAAGCACCTCATCAGGCCAGCACACAAGGGCATACATATTAGAGATGATATTGAAGTAGAAGTCACCATCCTTACACAGGAACGTGAAACATCGGCGTACAAACTTTTAAAAGTGAATAGCAGGTAGGAATGCCTATTGATACATATGATATGGTACAGCATATAGAATGTTTTCGACAGGGAAAGATACATTCGCGGCTCATATGATTACTAAACGGAAGGTCTTCGCTTGAATAATTCGGTGGACGACTTATAGATACGGCGATTCTGTTGAAAGTCGTTTTGAGCATAATGAGACTAAAATCTCGGTTCGGTAGTTTTTTTTCTGTTTGAATAATAGAGATGTTTGGCTGACCGGATTATGGACTACATAATCTTTGATAGCTTTGCATAAAGTGAAAGCGCCGAAGTGTCAGCTCTTGATCTGATAGTATATTTTAAGCCTTTGATGAGGTCTGTTATGGCACTTGTGAAGTGTTAGACAGTGTCAACACCAGATACGTGTTTTGAGCCACTCAGCCTACCTCATCACTAACACGGTGCCTTTCAGTTAACTCAGTTCCTTGTATGTGTATGACCTCTACGTCAAACGAAGCTACGGCGAAGATGTTTCACTAATTGCGTGAAGTGAAAAAATCACTTCATACTGGAGAGATAAGAGATCTTTACACATGCGGTCATAAGATCATCCGACATTGTAAAGATTAACAGTTGATTGCTTATAGCTGATAGATTGAATAATACCTTTATATTCGATTGTTTTCTGAAGCTTAGCTCTAATCGCTAAACGCTTATCACTGGACGTTTAGTGATTTTTTATCTCTGCAGTGCGAAGTAATTTTTTCACTTTGCGCGAGCACTGTAACATCTTCGGCGTCGATGCCAATTCTTGTAAGAGGTATATCCCCTTACGAGGAACTGACTGAAGCGAAGATCACCGTGCTACGATTAGGATGGGAAGCCGAAACACGTGTCTAGCACTATATAAGTGCCTGGACTGACCTCACGAAAGGTTTGAAATATGTTAACATATCATACTATACCAAGCGAGGTCCCAATAACAGTCTAATATAGAGGCATTGTTGGCTCATAGTCGAAGAATTTTCAAAACCCTGTACATGGCTTTAAAAGGGAAATAAGAAATTCATCTATGTAAGTTGTTGCTCTTTGACATGACTTGTTTCTCTTTCGGCCTATAATACATTATAGAAGTGATCTAGACTACTTACTCCTTTCTGAGACACTCATTTGAGTATTTTGCTCATCACTCAGTTTTCTTAGGTGTATGCGAAACAACATAACACTGCGAAAAACCAGTTAAAGCAATAAAAATTTCGAGTATTACTTATCACAATGGCTGCCAGCTCAACTAGGTTTATAAAGCGAAATCGCATACCCGTCAAACATTTTAAAGGTTAAAGGTTGACAGCAGCTATCATAGAAATATTGAATGATGACTGGTGGCCCGAATGTCCGTCGATGGTGTAGTGGTAACACGTGTCCCTGGAATGGATGAGACGCGAGTTAGACTCCCGTCTGAGGTTGTGCTCACCACTAGGTTCTCTTAGATGTATATGATACTCATATGCGAGTGCTCTGTTTACATACACACCCTTTCTCATTTCTAGAATTTACCAAAGTTCACGTATGCGAAATGGTGTCGGATACTTCTATTTCTTAGAGCAACCATGTGGAAATACCACAACCGCTAACGAAAACTAGTGAGCACTGGGTACGTTTTGTTTTGCTGTGAAGAAGTCACAACATAACCATTGTGTTGAGAGGTATGGAAGATTGGTGAACGCTGGAAACATCCAATATGATCGGGATCACGCTAAAGAAACATACGTTTGGTACCTAAAGGCAAACGCACTTTTTGTAAAGATGTTACTATCTTCTCATCAAATTTGTAAATCCTGAACGGTATCCAGTTTCAATCTCAAATGAAACTGTTAACGGAATTTGCTTATTCAAATGAAGTGATGTTGACTGGCGCAGATTTCAAAAGTTTATGGAGCGTCAAGCAATGCATTGTTGTAATATTAGTATTGTACTACTACCACGGGAGGCGTATTTGTAACTTATTGGCTGTTGTATTCTTACTTGGATACTTAGATGACCAGCCTTCACCAGATGTGCAATCCTTTTATGGAAAATTCTTGCCTAACGAATGAGATCGGCTTAACTATATGTCATCGTATAACATATAGGCACCAAATTTTCTTTCACGCTCAATCGTCTTTCGCTGGACAGAGGTTTTCATTCAAACTTTCGATGACCATTCGATAGTACAAATGTCAGCGATTGTAGTGATAGGCCTGGTTTTTGAGAAGGACGTTGTGATGCGTTGTTACAGCTAAAAGCTTGTTAACTACAACACTAGGCGCCGTTCGATAGCGCAGCGCAATTTACATTTGACGAGCGGTTAGCGACGAGTGTAAAACTCAATATATTTTTTTTGATGTGACGGAGCACTAAGAAGTCTATCTTAAGAACTAGGCATATTCTTAAAATTGTTAAGATTTGCGCTATCGAATGAACGTGAAAGCTTGAGAGAAAAGCCGCGTTTAGCGGAAAATGCTCAGGTTTACAACACAGTTTTATTCCTGTCGCTATAGCTCTCAAAGGGACTTTTTTCAGAGGGCAACATACAATTAGAATCCACGAGATTTGAGCTATCGACAGGTTATTGAACTGCGCCAGTATGATGCTTGTGGTACAATATACGTGTACATAGCTGTGGAAGACATGCGCAACGCATGTGAAATGCAATGGTAATTTCAATGTTGCAGAGCAATAAGAAATTTCTTGGAAAACAAAGGGCACTCATAAATTGACCGGGATTTCTGTTAATGAAGAATTGCTGGATTTTCCAAGGTGAAGCTTTGTCCATCCAAAGATGCTAGAGTGTTGAACAACATTTTCTTTTAATTGTTACAGTGTAATATAGAGACCTTTCAAAAAATTAAGTACACCTTTCCATTTCCCAGAATTTGAGCTATCGAGTTTCTACTAAAATGTCTAGAAAGAGCGGAAGCTACGTTCTTTTTGGATATGCGTGCTGATAGGGGATGTACCGTATTATACGCAGTAATGAACGTGTGCTTTCCTACACATGCATCAACTACACCCTGCAATTAACTCCACATAGACCTCTATTAGAAAAGCTTCGCTTTAGAAAATGTGCTTTCAATTCACGTTCTCGCAAGACAGGCGATTCAAATGCACAATAGGGGTTGGAGGTTTGTTTCTATTTTCAGAGTTTGTTTAGAAAGGCGTGGTATAGCTTTGAAAATGAGGAATTTTAATTAAAATAATCACTTTTTATATGAAACCTTAGCATAAGGTTCAGTCGTGATAGTCCATTCTCTATATAAAGATAAGACACCTATGAAATAAAAATCATCTATAATTACCAATCAACCACCTGTGACGTCCAAGCGGTCTGTAACATTTCAGGCTTGAAATGCGATCTTTTCTCGCCCTTACAGCGTCCTGTGATAATCTTCAGACAAACCATTTATGTCATCAAAATCCATGAGATTTGAGCTATTTATTCACTAATGAAACCTCAGTAAATATCCATGTCGCAGCCCAGGCGCAAATGAAGAAAAATGTTTGTGACACATAATTTTATTTCCGCTGCTACAACGAAATAAAAAGTCTCTTCTTGAAACTGAACATATCACTGAGAATAAAGAGATCTAAGCTCTTGAATGGCTACCAAATGTCCAGAAGAAATCGTTTAAGCAGCGAGAAAGGCCCTCAAAAAATAGTGTACCTTAGCTCGTACAAGTCGTTCTCTAGGGTTTAATAGAAACCATCGTGACGTGTATAACAGCAACCTCGCACGGGAACATAAAATTTTGGCGTGCAAGCTTTTAGAGGCTTTTAGATAAATACCACCAATCCAAGCTTGAATGGCAGGGAGGAGTGTCTTTAGATACATGTCATACGATACACTTTAGAAGACTGTTGTTTAATTAGGAAGGTTCATTCGCAGTCCACACTATTTCCACGCCTGAAATCTCGCTTGAAGAACCCAGTGGACCATTCATAAAAAGGAGTGTTTCTTGAAAGTTGTTTTGAGCTTAATGCGAGTAAAATCTGGGTCCGGCTATTTTTTTCTGCGTAAGTAATAGAGGCATTTCGTTGATGGGATTGCAGACAATTTGATATTTCAAGCCTTTGAAAAACGGTAGAAGCACAGAAATGTCATCTCTTGATCCAATAATATATTGTAAGCTTTTCTTAAGGTCTGTTATGGCACTTATAAAGTGCTAGATATGTGTTTCGGTCCTTTAAGCCCGCATCATCAGCAGCACGGCGCCTCCCGGTTTTGTCAGCTTCTTTCAAGCGAGTATACCTTCTAAATTCAAAAGAAGCGACACCGAACATGTTACACGGCTCGTGCGAAGTGAAAAAATCACTTCACGCTGCAGAGATATCAAACTGCTACATGTCCAGTTAAAAAATCACGCAACATTGTAGTGATTGATATTCCATTGTTCGCGGCTGGTAAATCGAATAATACCTTTATATTCGACTGCTCTTTAAGTCCACCTTCGTAACAAAAGCGCTTACCACCAGAAATAAAGTGATGTGTTAATTCTGCAATATGGTGTAATTTATTCACCTTTCTCGGACAGTGTATTATCTTCGGTGTCGATTCCTCTATATCTGAAAGATGTATCCCCTAACAATGACTTGACGGAACCAAAGAGCACCTTAACTAGTGATGGAGGACAGAAGGCCGAAACAAGTGTCTGGCACTTTATAAGTGCCAAAACAGACATCACCAAAGGCTCAAATATGTTACCAGATTGCACTGTTTTGAGCGAGGTCTTGAAAAACAGTTCAACATAAAAGTAATGTCGCTCTCAACTAAAATTTTATCAAATCTTGTGTTTGGCTTCCAAGGAAAGTAAGAGATTTACCTATTTAGGTAGGTGCTCTTCTGCATGACTCTTTGCTGTTATCCGGCCTATAATACCATCTGGAAGTTATTCAGAGCCCTTATCCCTTTTTCAGATACTCATATAAATATCTACTTACATACATAGCACTCTCTGTTTTCTTACGAGTTAACGAAGGTTCACTTATGTCGAAATGGAGTCGGATATCGCATCATAGTTCGCTTGTGAGAATAAATCCACCCACAGTCCGTTTAAAAAAAACTAGTGAGTGCTGAATATTTTTCGTTGCTTAATTGTTTCTGTATAACAAAGCTACAACGTAACCATTGTTTTGAGTGTCACAGAAGGTTGGCGAATGTTGTAGACGCTCAATATGCTCGAAATCACGCTAAAGAAACATATGCTTGACGCCGAAGTAAAATACACTTCTCTTCACGATATCGTAATTCTTCCCATAATGTGCCCTTCTCTTCACGATGTCGTAATTCTCCCCATAAATTCAAATGCTCTGCGCTTTTCTAATTTCCATCTCAATTGAAAATTGTGCACGGGCATTGCTTTTTTGGTACACAAATAGTATTGCCTGACGTTAAGCAATATATTTGTATTGTTGTAATATTTATTGTACTACTACAGTGTAGGAAGTACTTTTAACTTACTGGTTGTTGAATAAGTTTTGAATAATTGCTATGTAGGTAAGTCTTTCTAATAGTGGCATGACGTCATAACAGTAGGTTGGGAATATGCATCTTCTTCAAAGAAGCACACACAATGGACAAATGTTTATCAATTCTGAATCTCAATTTACTGAATGAATCTCATATGTTCATTGCGTCGTTGCCAATACAATTGTCGTGATGATGCGGTACTGTGTGGTGCGCGACGTGGCGAACATTGCCCACATACACGCGCCACGTCAAACTCAGCAGGTTAACCCTTTGAGGATTAGCGTTGATAGATAGGCGGCAACGCGCGCTCACTTGCGTGGCAGTCAATAAGGCGAACAGACAAGCGGCTCTGCATGTCCGTTCCGGCTCTGCGTGTCTGAATGTCTGCCTGTTTCTCCAAGAGACCCGACACCACCATTACAGTAGCTGTGCAAGATTTGTCGTCACACGTTGAGCAGTGAATGACTCTTATGGCCCTTAAAGGCTCAGAGTGATTTATATTCAAGAAACGATCGTGAAAGTGTGCGCTTTGTGTGAGAGATAGGAAGACAGGTAGTGAACTAACGGTTAACAAATTTCATTTAAAATCGAGAAAACTTATCTTGATTAGCTGACGCGAGGTTGGTAAATTAGTCGTAGAAGTCTGGCAGACGTTTCGGTGAACTCTTGAACTGTTTCGTTTGAAATGCTTGGTTTTCTGAAAAACTTTCTTCAGTCAGTGTGAACGGTGCGACTTCATCATAATTCTATATCGGAGCGTGACGGACGAATATGATCAAAAGTGACGTTGATCCACACCGCTTTAAACCTAAGTGACTGATTGGAGTTGTAAGTCTTTAGAATGAACTCATTCTCAAACTCGTTTTGATATGTCGTATGGAATTTTTTGTTTAAGTTCGAATTTTCTACAAAGGTGGTATACTTACTGACATTCCCTTCTAATATCATTAACCGTTAATT